TGTTTATTTATTCCTCCTGGCTACTGTCACTTCTAAGTTTTGGTTTCTTCCTACAGCTCTTTATTTGTGCCAATTTCCCAAAGATGACAACATTTGAGGGAAGACTGTGAAAGGTAACTGGGAATCTCCCATGGCCCCGGATGGAGATGATGCTTCATATCTCTGTGTCTTCCCTACACCAGTTGGCTGGCCCCTTTCATCCAGTTCCTTCTACACAATCAAACTAGTAATCCCCAGACCCTCTCCATTTATATTACTTGCAGAAATTCAGATACATGACTTAGAAATAAAATGAAGATGTTATTGTAGTGGATTGAATTATGTCCCCCCAAAACCTTCTGAAGCTTGAATTGTGTCCCCCAAATTTTGTATATTAGAAACTTCACCCCCACTGTGACTGTAAAGAGGGTAGGAAATCCTATTATGGTAATTGAAAGGTGGGGCCTTGAAGAGGTGATTGAATTGTGGGACCATGCAGTAGTGAATGGATTAATAATGGTGGTCAGGGCATGGTTTGGAGGGCTTTAAAAGGAGAGTGCACGAGGAGGTTAGCTCTCTCTCTGCCCTCTCTGCTTCCGTCATCTCGCAATGTGAGACCCTGAGTCACTGTCGTCTCCACCAGATAGATTTTGGACTTCCCAGCTTCAGAAACTGTAAGCAATAAATTTTGTTTTCTTATAAATCCCAGTTCTGAGAATTTGTTATAAGCAACAGAAATGGACTGATACAGTTATAAAATTGGGTTTTATAAATAAAACAATTCTCAATTATTCAAGAATTATTTTTTTATTGTTGTTGTTGGAACTGCCATCCCTTCCTAGAAAATGGTCCTAGAAGATGATCCTAAAAGATGATCCTAAAAGGTTCCTTCAAACTGATCCTTTCCTGTGTCTCCTCCATTCCATTTTTATATTTTTCACTATTCTTCTAATCTCTTTAACAAGGATGGAGTAGAAACTTACATCATAGTCCTTGAAGCTATGATAAAATATTCATTTTGAGGAGCAAGGGGTGAGAGTAAAGGAAGAGGTTGATATTATGTGTGCTTTTGTACTGCTCTGTCCTCATAAATTTTAAAAGGTCCAGTTAAAATTGAGCTCTCTCCTTCAAAAACATCAGACCCTAAAGAACAATGAGATTCCATTCATATTTCTTCACTTCTTTTTCTAATTATATAATTACTAGATCTTAATGTAAACATTTATTAAAGTAGAAGAAATAAAATTGATTGTTCTGTGGAATTTTAATTGTAAGAAAACATCTGACAAAACACCTCAAGTGAAAAATGTTCTATTTAAAAAAGAGAACTGTATATTTTAAAAACATTAATGTCATAAAAGACAAGGAAAGGCTACGGAAATTGAAGAGACTAAAGATATGAAAACTAAATGTAATATCTTCCTAGGAACTGCATACTGGCCTGGGGTGGGGGGTGGAGAAAGTTATAAAGGACATAATTGGGCCAACTAACAAAACTGGAATATGTGCCAAATATTATAGTATTAATGTTAAATCTATTCATAATGTTAAATACTGCAGTTGATACCTGTCGTGTTATTTAATAGAATATCCCTATTCTTAGAAAATACAAACAAGTATTTAAGAGAAAATTCCTCTCAAACAGAGAGTAAGTGAGCACATGATACAGCAAATGGGGTAAAAAGTTAACAGCAAGTCAATCTGGGTAAAGGCTACACAGGTAGCCTAAACAAAATAAGTTTTATACAACTTATTTTTACAATGTTTCTGTAAGTCTGAAATTATTTTTAATTAAAAAGTGTTGGGATTTTTATCCCCCCTAACAAACTACCTGTATCTTTCCTCTGACAAATGTGGTGATATCGTTCTCATTTTCAAAGATGGAGAGCGTCTGCAGTAGATTCTGCTCAAGCCATTCCCAGTGTTCAGTGATTTCTTTCCTGGAACCACCTGTACAAACACAAAAATGATAATACTAAATGTCAGATTTCATGCCAAAGATATTTAAAAAACTATGTTCACTTCATTGATATTCAAAGCCATCAAAGGAAACTATCATTCCAAGAGCTATGCCTTTAAATGCTCTCTCCTCCAGAGAAGACACACACAAGACATTTAAGTGTGTGAAAACCTAAGAATAAGTGTTGTGTTAGTCAAATCTCCT